TAGGCCACTCCAGGACCTTAATGTGCTTCTTCTTGAGCCACTCCTTTATTGCCCTGGCCATGTGTTTTGGGTCGTTGTCATGCTGGAATACACATCCACGACCCATTTTCAATGCCCTGGCTGAGGGAAGGAGGTTCTCACACAAGATTTGACGGTACGTGGCCCCGTCCATCGTCCCTTTGATGCAGTGAAGTTGTCCTGTCCCCTTAGCAGAAAAACACCCCCAAAGCATAATGTTTCCACCTCCATGTTTGACGGTGGGGATGGTGTTCTTGGGATCATCGGCAGTATTCCTCCTCCTCCAAACATGGCTAGTTAAGTTCATGCCAAAGAGCTCCATTTTGGTCTCATCTGACCACAACACTTTCACCCAGTTGTCCTCTGAATCATTCAGATGTTCATTGGCAAACTTCAGACGGGCATGTATATGTGCTTTCTTGAGCAAGGGGACCTTGTGGGCGCTGCAGGATTTCAGTCATTCACGGCATAGTGTGTTACCAATTGTTTTCTTGGTGATTATGGTCCCAGCTGCCTTGAGATCATTGACAAGATCCTCCTGTGTAGTTCTGGGCTGATTCCTCACTGTTCTCATGATCATTGCAACTCCACGAGGTGAGATCTTGCATGGAGCCCCAGGCCGAGGGAGATTGACAGTTCTTTTGTGTTTCTTCCATTTGTGAATAATCGCACCAACTGTTGTCACCTTCTCACCAAGCTGCTTGGCAATGGTCTTGTAGCCGATTCAATACTTGTGTAGGTCTACAGTCTTGTCCCTGACATCCTTGGAGAGCTCTTTGGTCTTGGCCATGGTGGAGAGTTTGGAATCTGATTGATTGATTGCTTCTGTGGACAGGTGTCTTTTATACAGGTAACACGCTGAAATTAGGAGCACTCCCTTTAAGAGTGTGCTCATAATCTCAGCTCGTTACCTGTATAAAAGTCATCTGGGAGCCAGAAATCTTTCTGATTGAGAGGGGGTCAAATACATATTTCCCTCATTAAAATGTAAATCAATTTATAACATTTTTGACATGCGCTTTTCTGGATGTTTTTGTTGTTATTCTGTCTCTCACTGTTCAAATAAATCTACCATTAAAATTATAGACTGATCATTTCTTTGTCAGTGGGCAAACGTACAAAATCAGCAGGGGATCAAATACTTTTTTTCCCTCACTGTAGCCTGCTGACAGAGAAGTGTTCCCATTGGCTGCAGCCTGTAGGTCTTATGGCCAATCATGAGAGTTTGCACTCTCTTGATTAACCACAGCCTCCACTTTGTGCTTTTGCTACTGGAATTTAATCATTACTAGCACAAGCAGATAGAAAGTATAGAGAGATGGAGTTGGAGGAGACATCAGAGGCAAAGGAGAAAAGGGGAGGAACAGCGGAGAGGAAAACGGGTTTAGGGGGCCAGTTTGGGGTCCCCTGCACCTTGGTTCTAAGGAGCTGAGACTGGGGAAAGGAGTAGGAGAGAAAGAGAGAGTGAGGGCGAGGGAAAGGGGGGACACCTGGAAAAGTGCTCACCGTCGTTTGATCCTCCACCAGCTGCAAAGCTTCGTTTTGGGTCGTGGACAGGTGGCACTGGACCCACTCCACTGTTCCTGTCTGGAGTCCATCCACATCTGATGCTCGACCACGCCCCTGTCCTTTCCTCCTCTTGCCTTGATGTGGTCAATGCTCCCCCCTCTGGCCTCGCAATGGTAGTCGCTCTGCCCTCTGGCACCAGTAGGTATATTGCTTGGCCCAGGGGTCCATGCCCTCCTAAGTTTTGAGTGCTTCAGGAGCCACGCCTTAAGGGGGGCAGTTCTCCCCTGGACCAACAGAAAATACCCTCACTCACATTTTTGAATGACTTCTCCTGTTGACTGTAATCACCTCCTGTGTTTGTGCATACCTGCTTTGTGTTACCCTGATTAGTTACCCTAAAAATTTGTTCTCCATCCTCAGTTGCTGAGTATGGTGATTGTTTTACTGTTATTTTGTTGTGTTTCTATTGTGAGTAGCTTGCATTTATATTGAGTTTTCCTAGACTTGTCTTGGTCTGTTTATTTATTTATTTATAGTTTTTCTACTGTTTGGTTCTTTCCATGACTGTTTGTTAGTTGGTTATTTAATAAAGTTTATCTGTACATGCATCCACCTCCCTTGGATTAGTTAAAACACTCATGCTATATTATTGCAAGATCGGCTTTGAGAAAGCACTTAGAATTAGAATGAGAACATTTTCTTGGTCATTAAGTAATCAAAATCTAAATTTTTGCATTAATCTTCATTATAGCAACTTTTTTCTTGACAAACTAAACAGAGACTTCTCTCTGATCTTAGTGTAAAACCACTCATTTTGCCCACTTGCCTTTCTGCTTTTTATAATTTTTTGGCTGCTTTCTTTGGTGCCATCAGTAGCTTGGCAACATTATGTGTAAAATTAATATTATTAACATTGTGAGAAGGGGGGGGGGGTAGATGGAGAGTGTTTCAGGTTCTTCTTTATGTTATATGTGATGCCTACAAGTGTATTGTCACAATTGTTAAGTTGTTTTGTCTATTGGCCTGTATAAAAGGAACAATTTGAATGGATTTTTGCAATGGATTTCAGTAGTATTTTGAGGGTGCAATTGCTTGATTACGTAACAGGGAGTGTTCATATATGTGAGTGCTAGTAGGGCTGCATGACGCTTCAGCTTCTCAGACAGAGAACAGCCTGCTGAGCGATCACAGTTAACATCTCCTGTGTCTGATTTTCCTGTACAGAACAGGATACAATATCTGTTCACTGGTTACTCATGCTTGAGGCCTGTAACATATAGTGACACCCAACTTCCAAAATATTAACCTTATATAAATAACTTTTTTTTAAAGGTGCAACAGTGGAATGTTTTTATTTCTTACAAGTCCACCTTTGTCGAGTTTGAGTCTAGACCAAGTCCTTAACCAATCGAGTCCAAAAGGGACCGAGTCCAGAATGTAATTAAATTGAAAGAAGATTTGAAATTGCAATTGTAAACTCTAAGCTGTTAAATTAATATTTTAACCTTCACAAACCAATGGCAACATAAATGGTACAAAAATACTACTAATTTCATGTCATCAGCACCTACGGTGGCTTAGTGGTTTGATTCTCGCCGGGGCCATGTGTGTGTAGAGTTTGCGTGTTCTCCCTGTGCTGTGGGGGTTTCTTCCCCCCTGTCTGAAGTCATGCATGGTAGGCTGATTAGCATGTATGAATGAGTGTGTATATGATTGTGCCTGGACTGGAACCCTGGGTACCCGCCTTGTGCCCCATGTTCGCTGGGATAGGCTCCAGGTTCCCCAACGACCCTGAGTAAGGTAGAAGATAGATGTATGTCATCAGCACCTCAGCTAGTTTCCTATCAAAAAATTATTTTAAATAAAGAAGGGGTATAGTGGAATATGTAGAACATTTATTATATTACAAGTGTATGAAAATACAAAAATGAAGCTGTTTTGTTATTATATCACGGTCATGTCACAGCAAACCAGCCTAGTCCTGCCACAACGAACCTGTCCATCCTGCACTGTGGCCTACAAACATGGCCGATATGGACTGTAATTCCCAGAACAACCACAGTACAAACCACAGTACAAAAAGACTGTTTGAACACAATGGCTTTGCAAAGTATTGAGTGTTCTCACTATACCAAGGGTTTGTATCCTGTTCCTCGTTTTGATTCATGGTCTTTGATCTAGTTTCTGGTTTCTCATTCTCGAGTCTCGCCTTGCCTTGTTTATGCCTGTTTGTTGATTGCCTGACCCATTGCTTGTTTTTGATCAGGCGTCTTATGATTTGGATTTGTCTGCCTGTCTCTCATTTTAAAAAGCTCTTATCTGCGCTTGCACTCCGCTAGTGGGCGCAGTGTCTAGTAGCTACTCCAGTGGACTGGAGAATGTAACTCAGTTTGTGGGATTATTCATGATGGTGGATCTTTTGGAGGAGGCCTGCCTCACATAAACACCTGCCATGCCATTCCCCACCTATTATGAGCAGGCAAACTCAGTGACTCCTCCCCCAAACTCCTGCCTGGGAGCCACACTATGGTCTCCTCTACCGATCTCCAGACAGAGGTCGAGCTGCCGAGCCCGAGCCGGAGGCCAATGTGATGACCTCCTCCCCAGAGCTTCAGCACGAGACCCTACGAAGTAGTCTCACCTTCAGAGCTCCAGTCGGAGGTCAACATGGCAACCTCATCTCCAGAGATCCAACCTGAGACTGACGAGGTAGTCCCAGAGCTCTAGCAGGAGACCCTGAGATGAGGTGGTCTCATCCCTAGCGCTCCAGCATAAAGTCAAGTAAAGTAAAGTCATAGAGGTCAACAAGGTGACTTTTCAAGCCAGGTCGAAGAGACGATCTCTCAAGTCAAGTTCATGTCTGAGGTCGAAGAGACAACCTCCCACGCCAAGTTCCAGTCAGATCGACGAGGCTGTAGACACAACTGACCAAGTTATGCTCACACCTGAAATTGACGTCACAACGAACCAAGTTATGCTCATGCCAGAGTCTGTTGTCATGACCATCCAAGTTCACCTCATGCTGAATCCGACGTCACGACCAACCAAATTATGCTCACGCCAGAGTCTGTTGACACAACCAACCAAGTGCTCCTCATGACTGAAAAAGACATCATGACCAACCAGATTCTGCTCATGCCTGAAACCAACATCACAATCAACCAGATTCTGGTCACATCTGAAGCAGAGGTCACAACCAACTAATGCTCATGCCAGAGTCGGTCGTCACGAGGCAAGGCAGATTAATATGTATTGTACATTTTCAACAACAAGGCAACTCAACGTGCTTTACATGAAGCATAAAAGCAGAACAAAGCAATATTTAAAAGAAAAGACATTTAAAAAGAGTTCATTAAAAATATATCAAAATAAAAAAATTTTAAGAAAAATTAAAACAATAAAAAAGTTTACAGTGCAGTGAAAATATTCTGGCCAAATTAACATAAAAAAGCCACCTCAAATGGAGAAAGCCATGCTTCAAGCCAGATTTGAATCAGCAACCTAAGAATGACTATTATAAGTACCTCTAGTCCTCCGCTCTACCAACTGAGCTATCAAAGATAAGGCGAGATTTGTTTTTGATAAGTAAGCTAGCAAATGAGACCAATTTTCCATTCAAATTCGCTCTTTACAAGCAAAGAGATTGAAGGAAACACTAGATTATTTTTTCCTGGAGCCTATAGGTGCCAAGGTGCTTTCTTGCTCATCTGAATAGTGTTTTCTCTGCATTAAGACACAGGTTCGTAGCAAGCTTCAACTTGCACAGGTAAAACCCCAGTGCAGTTCAAGTCCCGTGCCATATTCTCTTGTCCATCACAGGAATGGACCATGAGACAAGGATTAATTGCAATTTCTTGGCTCATGTATAGCTCGATCGTTTATGGTTTGATCATTTCCAAAGAACCGTCTTTAGAAGCCTTAACCGGAATGGAGCATAAGACAAGGCTTAAGAATAACTCCTTGCCCAAACGCCTTTTGTAACCCTAAGCCATACATGATGTAAAAGAAAACGTGATTGATCAGACCAAGCCACCTTCTTTTTGCTCCATGGTCCAGTGCTGACGCTCACGTGCCCTTTGTATGAGCTTTTGGTGGGAGACAGGGGCCAGCATAGCCAGTGTAGAGGCCACCATTTTCTCCAAATTTTTTTAGCCAGTGTAGAGGCCACCATTTTCTCCAATTTTGTCCCTCGTTGTCTAGTTGGTAGAATTTGCTGCTCTTACTGCTGCGGCCTGTGTTTGATTCCCGATTAGGGAATTGTGTTTTATTCACATCTGGCCAAATTAACATTTTAAATAAATCCAACTGACTGAAAACCGTCCTTCAAGCCAGAAACCTGAGGATGACCGCTATAAGCACCTACACTCCTCAGCTCTACCAACTGAGCTATCAAAGGTAAGGCAAAAGTTATCTTTGATAAGTGAGATAACCCTAAGCCATACATGATGTAAAAGAAAACGTGATTCATCAGACCAAGCCACCTTCTTATTGCTCCATGGTCTAGGCCTATAGTCTATTTTCTACTATTAAAGTTTACCTGGGTGCTATTTCGACATGTTATGTAGGCTTAAGGAGAGAGCATCCTCTTATATGCCGTTTTATGAAGGGTGTGAAGCATTTGAGACCAGAATCAAAGTGGCTGGTCCCATCATGGGACTTGTCCATGTTTCTGTATGCTTTTTTATTTTTTATTTTTTATTTATTTTTTTTTTTAGAAGGCTTTGTGCTTCTTTTAAAAATTTTCTGTGACTGTTTTTCAGTGTTTTCTCACTCATGGAAGCACACACATAATTTTATTATATAAAACCTGGGTTCAAGATGAAGCAGCAGATTCCAGTCCTGTGATGGGTACAATAACAAAGAACCTGTCATTTTCAACACACACACACACACTCCCAACAGCTGACTGTCTTTATTGTCAAAACATGTTAACAACGCAAACTTGTGAGCATCTGCGCTTAAACAAGAGAGACCAAAAGGCTATGGAGAGAGAGAGAGAGAGAGAGAGAGAGACTACCGTTGAGCAGTTATTGCTGACACGACCTCATTATATGTGATATAAAGTAATTATTAAAACAACATATATTAATTAACCAGTACCAGTAACGGAGAAACACCATCGAATGTAACGAAGTCAAAGTACATTTCTGTGATTAAAAATGAGCCTGAGTAAGAGTATAAGTATGGGCAGTTAAACCTACTCTTAAAAGTAAATTTTTTTCTTCAAAAAGTTGCTCAAGTAAATATAACAAAGTAAATGTAGCATGTTACCCAACTCTACTTATATCTGCAGCATCATTACATAATGTCACGACTCGTGACGGAGTGGAGATAGGACGGATGCAAATGCAGTACGAACAGTTGTTTATTTTAAGAGAGAGACAGGCAGACAAATCCAAAACGTGAACCATAAACGTAATCCAAGACAGGCGAAGGTCAGGCGATCAGCAAACAGGCATATACAGGGCAGGGCAGAGATCAAGGTCGTGGTACATAAAACGGGGTCGAGATATTAAACATGAAACATAAACCTGAGCGAGGGACTGGCAGCGGAGAAACCAGTGAACTAAACTAATGAAACTAAACAGAAGACATGACATGCACAAAGACTAAGGTAACGAACATCTAATCTAACTAAGTCTACGATACTCTACGTTAATAATCCGCGTTGTGTACTGGGAGGTGCGCAGTATATATGCTGGCTTGAATCAGCCTCTAAACTGCTAACAGCCGAGGGCAATACAGACACACATGAAATCCCAGCCAATGACAGAACAGGGAGGAGACATGACAGAAACGTAAACAAAAAACATGTGTCCAAATGTCACTGCTGTTGACATCGAAAAAGCAGGTGCTCACACAATAGCGTTAGGAGCACGCTGCTTCACGGGGGAATCATGACAGGACCCACCCAAAAAAAAGCACTCCTCCCGGAGTGCCATGAGTCCTCCCATTTTATTGGCAGCCCCTGGCCCCTGGGCTGAATGTCCCAATCAGAGCCAGGAAACCGCACGGTGTTCTTGGCGGAGCAGGGAAGCGGAGCGAAGTTCCTGGCTGAACAGGGAGGTAGAGCAACGACCACAGCCGAGCAGACAGGCTGAGCGACGTTCTCGACAGAGCATGAAAGCGGAGCGATGTTCTTGGCGGAGCAGGAGAGCAGAGCGACGTCCTCGGCTGAACAGGGAAACAGAGCGCTGTACTCCGTGCAGGAAAGCGAAGGAAAGTCCCCTGTGAGGCCAGGGAGAGGAGCATGGGTCTCCGTGAGGCCAGGGAGAGGAACTAAGCTCTTGTCGAAGCAGGAGGGGGAATGATGTTTGCCATGGAACAGGATGGCAGAGCGACCACCTCAGCTGAACAGGGAGGCTGAGCGACGACCTCAGCTGAACAGGGAGACTGAGTGACGACCTCAGCTGAACAGGGAAACTGAGCGACAACCTCAGATGAACAGGGAGGCTGATCGACGTCCACAGCTGAACCTGAAGTCTTGGGCATGGGCAGATCTTGGTCAGCTGTATCGGTAGACTTGGACGTGGGCTGAACTTGGCTGTGTGCGTCCTCAGACTCGGGCCTGGGAAGAACTTGATTGTCTGTGTCAGCAGATTCGGGCGTGAGCAGAACTTGGCTGTGTGTATCAACAGACTCAGGCGTGAGCAGAACTTGACTGTCTGTGTCAGTAGACTCGGGCGTGAACTGAACTTGGACGACCGGGTCAGTAACCTTGGACGTAGGTTGAACCTGGGCGGCCGGGTCAGTGGACTTGGGTGTGAGCATGATGTGGTCATTAGGCTTAGATATTAGTGGAACTTGGTCAACTGGATCAGCAGGCTTGGATCTGACATCAGGAACTTGAGACTTGACTTGGACGTCAGAGCCTGGAGACTTGACTTGGACGTCAGAGCCTGGAGACTTGACTTGGACTTCTGAGACTGTCAGACTCTTGGGACAGTAACTGGACTTGACAATGGATTTGTGTATCTGAGACCTTGTGTTTAAACTTTAGGCTGGAGCTCTGGTGTTGGAGCCTCCTTGTTGACCTCTAGCTGGAGTTCTGCATGTGAACCCACCTCGTGGGTCTCAGGTGCGAACTCTGAGGTTGCCAGGTTAACCCCAGGCTGTAGATCTGGCGCTGAGACCTCCTCGAACGTCTCGTACTGGAACACTGAGGCCAACATGTGGACCTCTGGCTGGAGCTCGGTGGGTGAAACCTCCTCGTGAGTCTCAGGTTTGCGCTCTGGTTCTGAGGTTGCTACGTTGACTTCTGGCCATAGTGTTATAGGGGCTTTTCTGTGTAGCCCTTTTGTGCTGATGCCAGCTGCTCTTGAAGCATTCTTTGGAGCAGAAAAATGCTTCCCGGAGACCCAGCTTCGTGCAGGTGGGACATTGAAGCAAAGTCGCTATCCCACAGCCCTCAGTCATACATCTCTGAGAATTCTTCCCCGCATTGGCCAGAACATGAAGCGGATCGGTGGTGATTGCCCTGTCAATTCCCTCATAATAGAGGTTGAATGGCGGGTCAGTCTGGGGCTGTCCATTGCCTATCCACCCCAGTAAATCCAGACCATGAATTCCGGGCTGTGTGAACTCCTCCATAAAAAGTGCTGAAAACTGAGTGACATCATGGAGGGCTGGAGACCCAGCACTCACCAGCTGCTCCGCCCAGTCACACAAAACCTGGACACCAGGAACCCGATCCATGGTCTCTTAGAAGGCTTGGGATATGCCAGGCCTCAAAAATCCTCCTGGCAGCTAGACAGAAACTCCAGCGGGTAGCTCCCCAATGCTGTCTCTGGCGGTAGTTCGATGTCGTAACTTTGGGGAAATTGCACGGAAGAAAAACGCAGCCAGTAATCCAAGCGTTCCCCGATGAGGTATTGTCCTACTACTTCCCTGGTTTCTGTAGGGTGACTTTTGTCTCGTCCTCGTGCTGCATCCATGTTGAGGCAGATTATTCTGTCACGACTTGTGACGGAGTGGAGATAGGACGGATGCAAATGCAGTATGAACAGTTGCTTATTTTAAGAGAGAGACAGGCAGACAAATCCAAAACGTGAACCATAAACATAATCCAAGACAGGCGAAGGTCAGGCGATCGGCAAACAGGCATATACAGGGCAGGGCAGAGATCAAGGTTGTGGTACGTAAAATGGGGTCGAGATATTAAACATGAAACGTAAACCTGTGTGAGGGACTGGTAGTGGAGAAACCAGTGAACTAAACTAACAAAACTAAACAGGAGACATGACATGAACAAAGACTAAGGTAATGAACATCTAATCTAACTAAGTCTACGATACTCTACGTTAATAATCCGCATTGTTGTCACGTATCGTGACATAGCGGAGATAGGACGGATGCAAACACAGTGTAGAACGGTAGGTGTTATTAAATGAGAGGTAGATAAATCCAAATCGTATTCCGTAAACATAATCCAAAAACAGGCAAAGGTCAGGCGAACAGCAAAAAGGCATAAATAGGGCAAGGCAGAGATCAAGGTCGTGGTATCAAATATGAAACAGGGTCGAGATATCAAATATGAAACTTGAACTAAGACGTGGAACTGG